GAGACGGGGACACATGGACAGAACCGGCCTGGGCCAGCAGTGTGGGGATGCTGCCTCTGCTACTGGCCCACCCTCACAGCAGCTTCAGCACTGGGACATCTGCGTTCAATTACCACAATCCTAAATGTGTGGAGTACTCTTTGGTGGGTGACAAGGGCTGGCAGCTAAGTCAGTGAGACCACCCCAGAGGGCTCTCTTGAGAAGTTGAAGTTGGATCGCCAGAAATAAGAGGACTGGCACAACGCCTCCCCTCCAGTTTCCTGCCCCTGGTGTCCTCCTAGCCTCTGCTCTTGGCTTGCAGGGAACTCACTCTCCCAGATGCAGAGAGTATTTCGCAAAGCAGGGACCAAGACTGGCCCTTTGAGGTCCTATGTACCCAGGGAGGCCGAGAGCAGAAAACATGATAGCAGCCCTGGGAGAAAAGGCAGGTTCTCTGCACATGCTGGAAACCAACAAAGCACATGAGGGGCAGGAGCCAGAAACCTGAGGGTGGCCTGGCTCTGTGCCCTCGCCCCACCCCAGAGGTCTGGGAACAGCGGCAGGCTGGCCTGGCAGGGCAGAGAAGTAAATCAGTCTCTGCCATGAAGTACCAGAGCCAGCAATACAAAAGGGTATATTATTCTATATATTGTTGTTACTGGTGTGCATATGTGAGGGAATTCAAAGTATTTCACAAACATGTTAACTTCAAAATTAGTTATTAAAAAAAAATGGTTATTATCTCCCCAGGCTTAACAACCCTGTGCTTAGTATAACAGACAAACAGAAAACAGTCTCTATCATATTATACGTAGGACTTTAAATGAAGTGGTGATATGACCTGGTTCTCTTTCATTACACATTTCTGTGATGTGATGTTTTGGTTTTTGTTTTTTTTCTAACAAGCACAATTTACATAATCTTGTACATAAAAAGGTAGAAGGAATGCCTTCAATTCGACAGGTCTAAGAGATACTAATCAAAGTAATATGGGGCCCTTGTTTGGCTTCAGAGTCATTTCTGAGACAACTAGGGAAACTGAAGGGATGAGTGTTGAATGAGTTAAAGGAATGATGTTTGTTTGGCAGGACAAGAGCATTAGATTTATGCCTTTTTAATCAAACCCTGCCAGACACTCACTGTTTGAAGTACTTGGAAAATCTGAAATCATCTGCTGCTGCGTGCCACCAAGTCAATTCCGAATCTCAGAGTCCCCACAGGACAGAGAACTGCCCAGCAGGGTTTCCTGTATTGTAATCTTTGCAGTAGCAAGTCACCAGGTCTTTTCTTCCTACAAGGGACTGTAGATTTATCTTAGCAGTTAAGCACTTCATCAATGTGCCACCAGGCTTCCATTAAGTCATTTACTCCTCCCAAGAATGCCAGGAAGTATGGGATGCGATGGTGGCCTAGTGGCAAGAAGCTGTATTGCAATCCCAAAGGCACGTGGTTCGAATCCACCAGCTGCTCTGTAGGGGAAGGACGGGCAATCTCCTCCCATGCGATTTAACTGCCTCCGAAAATCTATCACAGAGTCAGCTATGGGTCGGTTCTGACTTGATGGTAAACAACAACAATGCCAGAAAGTAGGTGCTATCGTCATCCCCTTTCCTGAAATGGGAACTGGGCAAAGAGGACTAATGGCTCTCAAGATCATACAGGCCTGAGCTGTGCTGCCAGGGCTTAACTGCAGACAACTGGGCACCAGTGTTGAGGCTCCTCCAACCACATCAAGCTTTTATTTCCTGTGCTGTCAACAATTAACCAGTAAACAGTCTTGAAGATGTACCTTTTGAGCACTGAGAAAGAACATCTAAAGTGAAAACAGATTTTTGCAAGTGATCTCCTAAAAAAGTTGACCTCATTTATGGTGTCCCTTGGAGTGTTTGTCTGTTTGACTTCCCACATCTCAAAGTAAGTGCCCTTCTGGGGCAGGTCTTCCAAGTCTCCAAAGATGACACCCTCTTTTGAAGGCACCAGGGGAGGACATACGGGCCTGAAGTGCTAGTGACAAAGCACGATAAGACAGCAACCTGCTAAAATAAACGTTAGCCATTCATATCTACTAGCTGCTACACAGGAGAAACATGGGCAGTCTCTTCCCATAAAGATTTCACAGTCTTGGAAACTGTGGAAGGTGCTATGTCAAAGCCCCTCTACAGCACAGGGTCTGGTCTTGGTGCTGAGGTTTGAGCAAAACTGACAACTCCTCCACAGGTTGGAAGGTTGATGCCCCACTGCTGCCCAAGTCAGCAGGTGCCAGAATTCATCAAATTTGCAAGTTTAAAACATGCTGTGGGGAAACTCTTTAACAAAGACCACCACCACCACCTACAGGTCATTTTTTCAAATTTTCTTTTTCCTTCTGTTTATCTGTTTTCACTACAGTCATGCATCATCTAATATTCATAACACACATTCAGTGAAGTAAGACGCTAGGTGATTTGAAGGTTGTGCAAACACTCTATCTTAGTATCCTAGTCTGGACCTGCTTTTTCTTTAAGCTTCTAGAACAAGCTTCATACCTTAAGAGTGAAGGTGAATACGCTGAAAGGGAGGGACTATGTTTTGGGGGTCGGTCTCTTCAGCTGTGTGTGCTTAGACTCACAGACAGCAGCATTTGTGTTATGTATTTCTTGAATGCTAGTGTTACTTCTCCATTTAATTTCCTTTCAAAATTATTACTGTGAAGAGAATCATGATTCTGAAACATAACCAAACCTGTGCTAATCCACACCTTCAGTGGCTCCTTCCTGATGCAGGTCCCTCTTGCATCTTCCTCAGCCTTGGAGCTTAGCTTTGAGCAAAGCTAACCCTTTAACAGCTTGGAGAAATTTATATTCAAGGATGGCCATTGTTGTCAAGGGTGACATGCTTAAATCATGCATTCAGTGATTTTCCACCTTTGTAATGCTCAATAAGGAGCCCTGGTGGTGCCATGGGTTAAAGTGTTGAGCTGATAACTGAAAAGGTCAATGTTTCAAACTCACCAGCCTCCCTGAGGGAAAAAAGACGAAGCAGTCTGCTATTGCAAAGATCTGCAGCCTTGGCAATCCCACACGCAGGTCTCCATGGCCACAGAGCGCTGCTATGGTTGGGACAGCCTCATCTGCAGTGGGACTGGGCTGTCTCAGGATATCTTATTTTGCTTCCAAATCAATACTTTGCCTCTAGCTGCTGCCATCACTAGCACTGGTTTGGTTATGCTTCAGAATCATGATGTACTTCACAGTAATAATTTTGAAAGGCAATTAAACAGAGCGGTAACACTCTTAACACTCAAGAAATACATAACACAAATCCTGCTGTCCGAGTCTAAGCACACACTGAGGTATAGGAAACTTTTTAGTTGGCAAGTTCAGTATAGTATGTACAGAAGTTATAACAGGCGTTATCAAGATACCTGGTCGAGCAATCACACTGTATCTAAGTGACACAAAACACCCATGGTGCCCGCTGAAAGCTGGTACATTCACTATATCCCATCCTCAGAAGAAAATCATGGCATTGTGCTATCAATCCAGAGGTAGGCGGTTCAAACCCACCAGTTGCTCCTCAGTAGAAATAAATGCACTCTCCTCCAGTGTGATTTACAGCCTCTGAAAACATGCTGGAGGTACAGCTCTAAGACAGTTCCAACTCAAAGCACACAGTAACATTAAAATCTTATGGATCAAGGACACTTATGTGATTGGATGTTGCCAGACACAATGGCATGTGACTACAGTCTTGCTACTTTGAACAGTCAATTATTCAGATCACACTATTCACATTTACTATTCACCTTCTATATGGCAGTCCTGTTCCACATACCAGGGCAGTAAGAGGGAACAAAACAGGGGAAACATTCAGGTAATGGACATGAAAATCTGTAAAGTTTTATAATTCTGTCTGTTATGGTAATTTGAGGAACGTAAACAAAAATCTAAATGGTGGTGTCATTTTGCAGCAAGCAAGGGCTCCAGAGTTGGAATGCCTGGGTTTCAGGAGCTGGCTCGCGTGACCTGGCAAACTCTGAACCCATGAGGGTTTCCTTAGTCGTAAATGGGTAGGACTCAAACATGTGGGATCACTGTGAGGCGCAGATAAAACACACACAGAGCTTCTCCCAAGAGAACACGGATACTGCGACGCTCAAGTTGGGTATTTTCAAACTGTTTTCTTTGTATTTATGAATAGCATTTAGTCTTGGCTTATGTGCAAAAGGAATCATGTCACCAATGACAACTCCAAGTTCTGCTTTTCCAACCCCTGGAGCCTCGCATTATCTCAAGAATGTCTAAAGTAATGAGTTTGTTCCTTTGCATGTGGCCTTGTTAGGAATGTGAACATGGAAGACCGGGGCGGGGGAAGGAGAAGAACTATGATACATGTCCATCTGGCCATTCACAACATACAAGGAAGATGCGTTCAGCCACAGACACGGCAAGAGAAGTGGCACTGGTCAGTGGTTGGATTGTCTAGAGACAACCTCCAGATGTGTAGGGGTGGCCAGGAGACAGCAAACACGTGGGCTGAATAAAGGTTAAGGTGCTGCAGTAAGTAAAGCAGAGAGATGCGCAGGGACAGAACAGGGCAGCAAGACCATTAGGCAGTGGAGGGAGAACATGAAGAGGTCCAAGGACGTACGCTGTGGGTCACTTGGCATGGGACTTGCAGCCCATGAAGGGGACATTCAGAAAGACACTTAAGATTAGTGACTGGATCTTGCTGGTTGGTTGTAGACTTGCTTGCCATCTCTTTCTCCTCTACAATGCAAACTCCTTGAGGACAGATATTTGGGATTGCTTCATTCAACAATGAGTTGTAGCCCCTCCTAGTAAACGTTCAGTCTGGGAAACTCAATAGAGGGCAACTATAAGCCAGAACTGACTGACTCGGTGGTGGTAGGTACTGCTCTCCCATTTTTAACAATCGTGAGCCAAGCCTCAGACCTGTACCCCTGCTCTGAACCCAGATGCTGTAACTAGGGCCTTACCGGTGTTGGATATCTGGTCGGTAGAAGTAGTCTGCTGGGGTGTCCAGACGGGAGAAGATGGGCGGGGGAATGTAGAGTGGCAGCTCCTGATTGAAGAAATCCTCCTTCTCCGGCTTGAGCATGAGCACTTTGTCATACATTGATGTGTGTCTTCCATTCTCGTCCGTGTGCACGGCTAAGTATTGGAAGTCAGACATTCCTGGAATTACACAGACAGTGGATATCCTTGTTATAGATACATCCTCCAGATTGCAGGAACCAGGCGACTACCACCCCCACCCACCAACCCAACATCCTGCTAGGAAGGTATAAAGCATGTTATGTGTTGGCTTCATCTTGAGCAATGGTGGTGTCAGGAGTTAAAATATCACTCTCCAGAAAGGTTTCTGCCTACTTGGTTCAATGAGCATTATTGTGGGGGGGCTACATTATTATGTGAGGATAAGTTTGGGTCAGTGTTTCTCAAAATGTGAGGTGCGTATCACCCGTGACCTGCAGAATGAGATGCTGCAGCTCTAACAAGGCCCAGGCCCGGGGCCCACACACTGAGTGGAGAGGTGCTGGCTCCATTAGACTTCTAGGAAGTCTAATATTTTATGAACCACTTGGAAAATCCTGTCCCAAGGACAGCCCTCTTTTGTGAACACTACATCTCATCTGAATGAATAATGTTCAAAATGCTCAATTCATATGACCCCAGGTCCTGGTTTCCTTTCTTTTCACTTCCCCCCTTTCTTATCTCTTCTCTTTTCCCTTTCGCAATCTGTCTTAGACATTTTAGGCTTTCCAATAATCTACCAAGTACCCTTTGATGGCACAGTCTCCCTGGTCTTTAACCAGGACCTAATGAATCCAGGACTATTTGCCCGCTGTACACACAAGGAGACTGAGGCCCAGGATCAATAAATTATTTGCCTAAAACTATGGTACATTCACACAATGGAGTATTATGCAGCAGTGAAAAACAATGAATTCATAAAACATTATTCAACATGGCTGAGTCCGGAAGAAATTATGTTGAGTGAAATATTTCAGTCACAAAAGGTGACTGCACAACCCAGCTATTATAGAATAACAGGACTGTCATGAAAGTGTTGGAGAATAAGAAGAGTAGATAAGATGATCAACACTGCACAGGTGAGGGGAAGAACTATCTGCAGCAGAGGGGAGAGCACTGCCTCATATTAAGAGGCTATGTTCTGTGGTTTCCCATAATACTTCCCCTCGAACTCAGGCAATTCTGTCCTGCTTCACTCATAGAGATGACCTGCTCCAAACCTGCAAGAAGTGGAGATTGAGACCTCAAAATAAAGTGATGTGTGAGGAGTGGATTTTGCAGTTACCCTGAAACTTGTAGGTGGTGGAGATGGTGCCAAGGATCTCTATCTCGAACTTGACCTGAGGGCAGGCCTCAGGCCCTGGTGCCTCTGCCTGCCGCCTTGTCTTCTTCTTGACCCGCAGTAGGAGGCTGTTAGTACTGAAGCGGTTGGCACATACTGGGTGGCAGTAAGGGTCCTTGGGCCGGAAGTACATTTCTAGCCTCTTAGTGGGATCTGCATAGATCTGTGGAGAGCCAGAGGAGAGAGAAGTGGAGCAGTGAGCAAATACACAACCTGGCAGGGAGTTCTTCCTCTCTTAGTCAAAGTGTTAGGACAACCCAGGTGACCCAAGAAGACCCAGTGCATTTGTGTTTCATTCTGGACTCTTATTCTCCAAAACTTATTTTACAAACCCAAGTATATCTTAGTTATCATCTAGTCAAGACAATGAGAATAGTTTCTTCATTCTAATAATTCCTCTCTTCCTTTCTTATAAATTTAGAAATAACACTGTCAATTACATAGATGTTACTGCTTTGTGTCATTGAGTTGGAACCGATCTATAGCTGATGCTCCAGGGGGGTTTCAGAGGCTGTCAATCACTTAGGAGCAGACTGTTCATCATTTTTTCCCTCAGAGTAGATGGTGGGTTTGAACTGAGTGCCTCTGAGTTGGCAGCACTAGATCCCTCCATTTATCAAGTCCATGTGGGACATGAGATACTTGTGGTTAATATTTCACAGGAGGCATTATTAACTCTTGAGTTCACATGTGAAGCTTGCAAGATGACATGGAGTGCCGGGTGACTTGTCTGAAGCTATCTACTTAGAAACTACTCACCTCAAAGGATCTTGGGATTCAGTCTTACATGCAAATATTTCTAGGTCTAAAGATTTCTAGGTGCTAACCAAACCCACGAGCAACTTCACAGGACAAAGATAGGCACATCTGCTTCTGTAAAGATTTACAGCCTTGGAAACCCTATGGGACAGTTCTACTCTATCCTCCAGCACTGCTATGAGTTGGAATGGGCAACAGGTTTATAATCATAGGATTATTACAATGATTAAAGAAATGCATGTATAAAGAACTAAGTCAGTCCAGTATTTAATTGATAATAAATACTGACACAGGTCAATTACATTATGAATGAATGGCTGCCTGATACCAGGTAAAAAGGAGAAAATGAATATCAGACCCGTGCATATGAAAAGCATCAACAATGTGAGCTGGGGTAATAGCATCTACTTGCTAGTCTACTGGCTCCCCAACACCAGGACGGGGCCTGGTGCTCAGTCCTGCTGGGGCAGAAGTGACCCAGATGTGGGCCTGATGCAGAGCAGATGCTCAAGACCACTGGAAAAGGAACAGATGCCCAAGGTCACAAGTCTAATGAGTTAGTCAGTTAACAAGTACAAAACATGAATCACCAGGGGTTTACTGGAGGAATTGAAAGCTTTGGTAGAAAGTACTTTGCAAAGAACCTGAGACCAAGTATAAAAAGCTCATACTAGCTCCTCTACTTGGTGTGTCATACAAATATATATGCCTCAGTTTCCCTGGAAAATTCAGGCAACATTACCAGGAGGGGCCAAGCCCTGGAGAAAGACACCTGTTTGGTAAGCTAGAAGTCAACGAAAATGAGGAAGATAGTGAACGAGATGGACTGACCATGGGCTTAAAAACAGAAATTGCGGGAATGGCCCTGGATGGATTATGGTTTGCTTCTGCACAGACAGGATCGCTATTAGTGGGTGCAGATTCAAAGCCACTATGGCCACCACCCTGTGCAGCTCTAGTGGAAATCAAATGTGCCTGGCAAACAAGATGTCAGCTATTAGTACTCTTTTTTAAAAAAATAAATTTTTATTTTATACGGGTTTGCCTACAACGTTCGTATCTATTGTTTTTCACACCGGATCTTTCTCACTTCCTTTACCCATCTCTAACTATTAGTACTCTTAACATGAATAATATAACACCCGCCCATCTTTCAAATAAGTCAGTGGTCCTTAATCTCCTCGTGCCTGTTTCTAGTATGTGACAAGAGCAAGGTGAGCTCACACCCGAGACAAGAGACTCGGGCTGCAGTTCAAATCCAGGAAGGGGATGGAAAAGACCCCTCGGAGTCCCTCCCGTCGTCCTTTTCCTACGGCTTCCAAATTGTAAAACGGTTCGTTCCGAGGATCTCGAAAGTCAAGTTCCGACCCAGTGAATGCCTCGAGCCTCGTTGCCAAGAAAACTCTATTTCTCCCTCTGGTCGTAATGCCCCTCTGGTCCCGCCCCTCTGGTCACAATCCCGTCACACGGTCCCTCGGCCACTGTCCGGGAGACTCCTCGCTCCTTACCCGGGAGACGCCTTCCTCACCGCCAAGGGTCGGCAGCATCTTGGACACGTCGCGCACCACGCCTGGGTACTCCACACACACCATACTGCGATCCCGCCGCAGCTCCAGTGGGGCTGCGCCCCCGGGCAAAGCCTCGCCCGCCATCCCTGTCTGCGGGCCCAGGCCTGTCACTCTCCGACTCTCTCACTCGCAGAAGCCTCGCCGCAATGGTTCCGCGAAGGAATCGTTCCGAGCTCGCTCACCGCTGCGTCTCCCTGAATCGACAAGCCCCAAGAGCCACTTCACCGCTTCGTGAGATACGAAAGCCACGAAGGCGATTTTTTTCACTTAAAAAACCAAGAAGGTTGGCTAAGGGGCGAAACAAAGAACTGTATCTCCAACCAGCTAGGGGCCCGGATGATTGTATGTCACCGCCCACCTTGAGGCTGTAGCCAATGAGAACCCAAAGTCTAAGGTCATGTTGTAGCCAATGATACATCAGGAGGAAACCAGCTACCCTCCCACGCCCTTATATTTTAGCCAATCTAGAGCCAGGATTAGGGATTCAGCGGCACTCACCTCTTTCTAGGCGTCCGGAGGGGAGTTTTTTGTTTGTTTTTGGTCCTCACTCCCTGTTCTCCACCTCCTTTTAAAAATTTTGTACTGATTTACTTACAGAGTTCGAATGCATTGTTTTTCACACAAGATCCTTCCCATTTGCTTCACCCCCCACCCATCGAATTGTGCAACCCAACCCACCCCCTGCCCTTCCTCACCCCTCTGCTTCCACCTTCCTCCCGCCTTGAATCCTCATGATCTTTCTACAATAATGGTGGAGGTATTTTAGGTGGCGGTTTTTTTAATTATAACTTTTTTATTTTACTCTGATTTATTTTGCAAAGTTTTAATACATTGTTTTTTACAAAAGATCCTTCCTATTTCCTTCACCTCCCACCATCGAATTTTGCAACCCTATGACTAACACACTATTCCTCCATCCTCACTCCTCTATTTCCACCCTCCACTCCCTTAGATTATCATACTCATTCTACAATAATGGTTTTATACAGTATTTGTCCTTGTGGGACTGAGTTCACTCAACATAATGCTCTCCAGTCCCTCCCAATTAGGTAGTAATTTACAAAATAATTGCTCCTGCGTGCTATGTAGTCACCCCAAGGTGGATCAGAGACTTGGGAGTAAAGCCCAACACCATAAAGTTCATAAAAAACAAATTGGAATCAAGCTTAGAAGTCCTAGTCTACATTATAAAGAAACTGCCAAATAAAGTCGGATATGCACAATCTAAACAGGATAAAATTGATGAATGGGATCTTCTACAGATTAAATCCCTGTGCTCATCAAAAACTTTTTCCAACCGGATGGGGAAAAACCCCCTACTGACTGGAAACAAAGCTTTGGCAATAGCATCTCAGACTATAGTCTCATAACGGAAGTTTATAGAATACTCCTGGGCTTCTGCAAGAAAAAGACTGATAACCCAATTACAAAATGGGCAAAAGACATGGAAATAATTTTCACAGAGGAAGCTATTCAAATGGCCAACAGACATATGAAGAAATGCTTCAAATCACTGGCAATAAGATGCAAATCAAAACCAGGACATACCATCTCACTCCAGAAGGTGTGGAAGTGGGGAGTGCAAGGGAATTGTGGCTAGATGACTCCGCTGCCACAAAAACTCTGACATGCCATCTACTTGGAAGCACGAAGCAAAATGTGGGTAATCAGTGTTACTCCGTTTTGAAGCACCTGTGTTTGCACACCACTCAGACCCTAAAGGGGGGGAGGAGAAACATCAAGCACCAGTGTGGTGGCACTGAGAACAATGTTACAGGGTCCAGAAGCAAGCTATGTGACCCATATTAGAAAGTGCCCCAAGACAAATCTACAGGTAGCAAAGTAAAGAGAATTACAGTCAGTAGCCAACTAGGAAGCACCCAGAAGATTGACTTTTTTTTCCTGAGTGTAATGGAGAGCCTTTGAAGGATTAATGTCATAATCTGATTTGTGCACTTAAAATATTTCCCAGATTTCCATGTGGGAATGGGTTATTGTTGTTGTTACTTGCCGTTGAGTCAGCTAGGATTCATAACAATCTTATTAACAATAGCTCTGAACCCTGCCCTATCTTGAGCCAATCTCATTGTCTCTAAAACCCCAGCCCCCATTGCCAAAGTCACTGTGTTAGTTCATCTCATCCAGGATCTTCCCCTCCTGTGCTGACCCTCCACCCTTCCAAGCGCATGATGTCCTTCTCCAAGGACTGGTCTCTCCTGGCAACATTCCCAAAGTATGTGAGACTGAGTTTCACAATCCTTGCCTGCTCTGAAGGAATTGGCAAAAAGGTCCCAGGAATTGATGCAATACCAATTGACATATTTCAACAAACAGATGCAGCCCTGGACATGCTCATCAGATTGTGCCAGGAAATCTGGAGAATAGGCCCCTGGCCAACTGGCTGGAAGAGATATATTTATTCCCATTCCTAAAAAAATGTGATCCAATAGAGTGTGGAAATTATTTAATGATGTTATTAATACCACATGTAAGCAAAATCTTGCTGAAGATTATCCAAAAACAACTGGAACAGTACATCCACAGATGTACTAAAATACAAGATGGGCTTAGAAGAGGCCGTGGGATATCATTGCCAATGTCACATGGATCTTGGCTGAAAGCAGAGAATAGCAGAAAAATGTTTATTTGTGTTTTATTGACTATGCAAAGACATTTGACTGTGTGGATCTCAACAAATTATGACTAACGTTGAGAAGAATGAAAGAGTAGATTAGAGAAGGCAAAATGGGCTAAGGTAAACACAAGTTAGAAAATAGATAGTGGAAGTGGGAATGGAAAAAAGGAACTGATTAGAGAATATTGTTGTGTGCCATCCCTCAGTCGAGCTCAATAGAGCTGCCTTACAGGATTTCCACGGCTAGAATCCTTATGAGTGAACAGCAACATCTTTCTTCTGTGTGGAGGAGCTAGAAAGCTTGAACTGCTCACATTTTTGTTAGTCGTTGGGTACAGTGGAGTCAGAGTCAACCATAGCTGACTCTCCAGCAGGTTTTCAGAGGCAGGAAATTGCATGGGAAAAAACTATCCATTCCCCCTCCCCTCTGGAACAGCTGGTGAATTTGAACTGCAGACCTTTGGGTTGGCAGCACAATTCCTTACATCTAAGCCACCAGAGTGCGTAAGCACTAGTCCAGCAGGGCTCCTCATAAGGATGTTTTTGCTATGTGCCCTCAAGTGGGAACCCGCTCAACTGACCCTCCAACAGATTTTAAGAGGTTTTCAATCACATAGAGCAGCTGCTGCTTTTGAACCCCTTGCCTTTGGGTAGGCAGCCAATTCCTTACAACTAGCTGCCTCTGGAAACCCACTAGGGGTCAGCCATGAGTTGATTCCTATTCCCTGGCACATAACAACAACAACAGCAACAACTGACCATCAGACAGGTTTCAAAAGATGTGTTGCATTGGGGAAATCTGCTGTCAAAGACCACCACCAAAGTGCTAAAGAACAATGATTGAAGTCTTAGCGATAGCAATAAGACAAGATAAAGACATTAGAGGTATAAAAATTGGCAAAGAGGAAGT